CCAAAATACAGTTTCAAATTAAATTGATTCAAATTCAAACCATTAAATTCAGTTACAATTTAATGAAATTTATTTTCTAACCAATGAATTCAGTTTCAAATTCTGCACATTCAGATTCAATCTGAACAATTCAGATTCAATTCCTGCTGGCACAAGATTGATCCCATAGAAAGGTTTTGCTGAACAACAGCCATATAAGGAGCTGCAAACCAAAAATAAAAACAGCTCAGTGTCAAAACTTCATCCTGCTGATAAATTCTTTATCTCTGTGAATCTGAAACTCTGCAGTTTTGTACAATTTTCATTTTAAATCTTTTGTATTTATGGTTGTTTATGGCATCCTGTGGTAATAAACTAACAGAAGTCAGATCCTGGAGGGTTTGTGATGAATCAGAACCTGGTTCTGGTGATACCTCAGCTAGATGATTGTTAACATGAACATAAATTATCTTCAGGAAGTGTGACTCGTTGAAGAGAACCCTGAGAATAACAGGGTTTGTGTTCTTGACACAGTCCTGGTCTGAGCCCATGACACCGGTCGGTGGTTGGGTCTAACCCAGCTCTGATCTGTCAGCTCGACACAATTCAGAGGAGCGGGACRGAAACAACAGGTGCCAGAACAAAGGCGAGGGAGTTTTCTTCCACCTTGTTAAGCCTCTTATGGCTCTAAGTCTTCCTGCAGCCGTCCTGCAGGGCCTCCCTGCTCTGATCACTGATTATTTAATCCCTCTGTGGAAACGGCGAGCTCGTCGGCGTTTTCACGGGTCTGTCACCGTGCCAACACGACCCCTCYTTTTCAGGACATGGAGGAGCTTCTGCTGCAGAGCGGCGAGGAAGAGTCTCGCTCCGATCAGGGTTCCTTCGCGCCGGGAGCCGCGGGGAGGACGATGGGGGACCGGGTCAAGTTCTTCCTGTATCCAGTGAAGAAGGATCTCTGGAGAACCGTGAAGGATTTCTTCAAGAAGAACGGTCTGCTGACGCTGTCGGTCATTGCCGTGCTCACAGGGTGCACCTTAGGCTTCATGCTGAGAGGAACTCAGCTGTCCACACAGGTACAGAACCCAACCCCCAACCTGAGATCCACACAGGTACAGAACCCAACCCCCAACCTGAGATCCACACAGGTACAGAACCCAACCCCCAACCTGAGATCCACACAGGTACAGAACCCAACCCCC